GTCACGTGTAAAGAAATAAAGGCAATGTGAAGGAAACAACACCTTGACTCTTCTTGGAAGCAGATTATTCAGATAAGAGCTTCCAGTTAAGAGTCCACCTGGCTGACACTTTGATTTTAACTAATGTAGCCTGAGCAGAGGATAATCTAGCTTAAACTCCTGACCTCCAGGTCTGGGAGATAGTAGGTGTTGCTTTAAGATACTAAGTTAGTGGTAATCTAATATTTGGCAGTAGGAAACAAATATACCTGCCTTCCACTTCCTACTCCCCACTCTCATGTTCAAATAATGTGAACTCATCAAAACTTGGAATGCCAGTGTTAAATACCAAAATCTTACTCAGTGACTTCATTCTCCTGCCTCAGTTTCTCCAGGCTCCAAGTAACCCCTTCACATACTCCCTTTCTACCTGTCAGACAGGTGAAGGCCCCAAATGGCTTCTTTCTGCCTCAGCTGTGTCTCAGGAGTCCTCAGTTTGAAATCTTCCTACCAACTCAATAATTCCCAAGGGGTCCTCACATTTGCATCCTCTTCCACTTTAAGGTCTTGTGGTAGACAGACTAAAGTCCTCCCAAAGATATCCTTGTTTTAATCCCTAGAAGGTGAAAATGTTAGGCTACGTGTAATTAAAATTACAGGTACAATTAAAGCTGCTAAGTAGATAACTTTAAAAAGGGTCATTAGAACTGAAGGAAGGAATAGAAAAAGAATCAGAGAAATCTGTAATGACAGAAATAGGATCAAAGATGCTGTGTTGCTGGCTTTGAAGATGGAGAAATGAATTCATGAGCCAAGGAATGCAGCTGACTTCGACAAGCTTAAAAATGTTCTAGAAAGAAACAGATATGTTGACATCATTATTGTAGCCCAGTAGATAGATACAGGTCAGACTTCTAACTATTGGTAAGTTAAATCATAAATTTATATTGTTTTAACTCAAAGTTTGTATTCTGTTGTGGCAACTACAGAAAACAAACAGGTTAATTCCTTAATATGCTAATCCACTATCTTACCATTCACACCTTTGCATTTAAACTGTATTTTTCATCTATTCTTACAGCACAATTGACACAGACTTCTGTGACTATCAAAAGGTGTGAGGGTTTCTTTCCACCATCAAGCAAGCAATCAGACATCAGCTGGGCATCCTCTAAACCAATTCAGTTCTGACACTATCTATTGGAGACACTGCCATTCAGAACCCACAGGTTGAGGGCCCCACCTCTTAGAGGTTCCACCATCTCCTGAGTGTCAAGCTGAGAACTAGGGCTTGTAGCACATGGGCCACATTCCAAATCCAAATGACACTAAGGGACCTCAGTCTGTCTCCTCCTACTTTTGAATAGCTTGTCCTCTTGGCATTCACGTGTATTCTGGCTTCATTCAAACCAAATAAATATTTTATTTGAACCCCAAGATAGCTTGCATGTATATTTATTTTCTCTCGTATTTCTCTATTAGCTAAAACTTTGGGAGGAGTTGTTTTCTCTGTTTTCATTCCTTAACTTCTTCTCACTGCTTGAACTAGCATGGACAACGTACCAAATTCATCAGGGGTCCTGGATAGCCATGAGCATAACTATGGGGAAACCACTCGACATATAGCCTCTCTTCCATTATTTCATTTTCTTTAACTTGGAGTAGTATGCAGATAAATATACTTGGACTCAGTATCAATGTTAACCAAACTGCCTCCCAGATCTGTGATAATCCTTGTTTGAAAACTGAACTTGCCAAGGAAAAATTGATCCTTGGAAATTCACCATTGGAGAACACTAAGAAATGCAATAGATCCTTCTAACTGATGCCAGCCCTTCAGTAGGCATTCCAGTAATGGACTTTGTAAATATGGGGCAGTTACATTTTTCAGATAACATTGAAGAAAGGTCACATGGTGGCAGGCAGAAGGCCTGGTCTGGGAGGCTATGAATGATTTTGTCATGGTCTTGTGCAAATTGATCCCCTCTGGACTGGGAAATTCATCTGTAAGATGAGGAAGATCTTTGTGGTTTCCTCCCTAAAATCCTGTGACTTAATATGCCAATACACTTAATGTGAAATCAGGGTATTGGAAAACAGTTTAAAATAAAACGCTGATAACTGAAAATACTCATTTCTTTATACTGCAATGTGTTTATGAAACACTGGTTTTAGTCTGAATTCATCAAAATCAGCTTGATAAAATATTAGGATAATGTTAGGAAATAATACAACTTTAGCTAGCAAATAAACTGACCTATTGATATGAAAAAAATTACTAAAATTAAATTTTATTGGCACATATTAATTATACAATGTGGCATATTTATACACACATATAACATAATTTTTATCAGTTATCAGTTTCGTTCTCCAATACCTCCTCTACCTTCCCCTCCTCCCTCCCACTTATTCCCTTCCTTTACCCCAGTGACCTCCCTTCTGTTTTCATTACATCCCCCTTTTCCCCTCCTTTAGCTTCCACATATGAGAAAAAGAAAAACATGGCACTTATCTTTCTGAATCTGGTTTATTTGGCTTAAAGTGTTGCTCTCCAGATCCATCCATTTTCCAGCAAATGGCATAATTTCATTCTTTCTTTATGGGAGAACAAAACTTCATTGTTCATATATACATATATACCATAGTTTCTTTTTTTTTTTAAAGAGAGAGAGAATTTTTAATATTTATTTATTTTTAGTTTTTCGGGGGACACAACATCTTTGTATGTGGTGCAGTTTCTTTATCCATTCATCTGCTGATGTATACCTAGGCTGATTCCATACACCTAGGCTGATTCCATAACTTGGCTATTGTGACTTATACTGTGAGGCATGGGTGTACATGTTTTTTAATTTTTTATTCATTAATTTTTGGTGCTGGTAATTGTACCCAAGGTCCAAGTGCTTTACCACTGAGCTACAACCCCAGCTCCAAGTTTGTTTTGTTTACATAATTCCAGAATATTATATTTAATTATCCTATTTTTGAAAATGTGCTTTTTCTCAACTTCATGATTTTTTTTTTCTTTTTTTCACTCTTATTTTTCCTTCTTGGTACCGGGAATTAAACCCCAGGGCACTTTACTACTTAAGCCACATCCCTAGCTCTTTATTTTTTGAGACCAGGTCTCCCCATATTGCGGAGTCTGAATTTGATCCTGGGTGCTAGCCTCTCAAGTCCCTGGGATTATGGAAGTGTGCAATGGATCCCTCTTCTTCTTTCTTTCTTTTTCTTTTTTTTTTTTCTTTTTCTTTTTTTTTTTTTTTTGTGGTGCAGGGGATTGAACCCAGGGCTGTGTGCATGCAAGGCAAGCACTATACCAACTGAGCTATAGCTCCAGCCCTCCATGTCTTCTTTTCTGTAATATTCAACCATCCCTATTCTATCCTTTTGCACATCTCTGAATAGAAGACCCTAGCTTCTCGCATATGAGGTTCTTCAGGGGATATCTTAACAGAGAAAGTCCAGAAACAAGAACTTGGAAATTAGATCTTGTAGGAGGCTCAATCCTTCCACCATGAGGCCAGCCCACTCACACCAATCTCCATAAATCCTGGGGAGCTCCGCACGAAGCCAGCACTGGCCATAATTAAAACCATTCCTCCAACAATATACATTCTTGGCTTCGCGGGGTCCTGGAAGGCCATTAAAGATAAGGACAGGAGGCCCTGTAGGTTTTGAGCTGAAGCTCGTGGAAGCAGCCATACTCCTACGACCAGTCTGACGTTCTGCGGCTTCTTCTCGAACACTTGGGTTCCAGGGTTCGCGAGGCGCACGCTCCGCTGGGGTCACCGTCGCCGCTGCGTTCGCTCACCCCGCAACACCCACCGCACCTGCACCCTCGCGGCACCATGGCCGCCCGGGCCTCTCTCCCCCGCAGGGTCCCCGCGCTCCAGGGGGCGCTCGCCACGCTGCACCATGAGAATGCCTCTTCGGAAGACTTTAAATCGACAGAATGATTCCAAAAGAATAATTTCAGCCAAATGTTTGGTCGCATCATGGATATATACTTTAAAGCTCGTTAAAAGCATCCAGCCTCAGCATTCTAAAACATTACACCGTCACATCATCAATTTTATTATCCAGGCCTCTGGGCTAAAGCTTCCTGTCTTGGGCGAAGAATTAAGTAAGAATAACCCCCAGAGTTGATTTAGAAAATGACATTGTGATTTTTATGTATGTATGTATGTCTACAAATGTAAGAGCCAGAAGCACATCTCCATGCAATTACTAGATTCCGGGGATAGAAATTGGGACTTCATGGCCATTTTCTCGAACTTGCACCCTCCCCAGCGTTTCCAGGGCCCCCGGAAGGAGGTAGAGAAGTACTTTTCAGAGCTGCGTGAAAGGGCTGGGATGTAGCTCAGTGGCAAAGCGTCTGCATTGCATTCGCAAAGCCCTGGGTTCGACCCCCAGTTCCAAAAAAAAGACCAAAAAAAAAAAAAAAAGAACTGCGAGTAGACTATTTAAAGCGTTCGTAATACTTCCATCCAATCCCCTCGCCCCTTCAGCTCCTGATTATTTTGGCCTTGGGACGCGACCTTCCCATTTCTCCAAAGATCAAGGACCAGACACCACCTATCACCCTCGGGGTGGCTTAAAAAGCGAGGGGGAAAAACCTTGGCGTTCGGTCCCAGAGGCTCAGGGGCAGCAGCTGCTGCTCTAAACCTCTCCAGGTCTGCAGAGGAGTCCGCCGGCC